TTTCTTAATGGTGTGCTTTGAAAGTAGAAAGTCTTTACTAATTCTCCTGATTTGATCATTATATTTATATATATATATATATATATATATATATATATATATATATATAATACTGTACAGCATAAATATGTATGATTATTTTATGTCAATAAAAATTATATTCCTGGAAAAAAAGTTCAAGTTTTTATGAATTCCAGTTTATCATTTTTCTCTTGTATAGATTACAGCTTTCATGTCTTATAACTTTGTAACTCAATGTTATAAGCATTTTTGTTCAGTGATTTTCTAGAAGTTTGGTAGTTTTCTCTCTAATGTTTATGATCCATTATAAGTTAGTTTGTAAGTATGGTGTGAGGTAAGGATGCATATTTACTTTTTCTATACCCATATTCGGTTATCCAGCACCATTTGTCAGAAAAATATTTTCTTTCCCCCATTGAATTGCCTTAGTGTCTTTGTTAGATAATCAGTTGGCCACACGTGGGTGGACCTATTTCTGTTCTCTTTTTTCTGTTCCATTGATCTTTTTGCTAATACCAATCTTGATACTGTGGCTTCACAGTGAGTCTTGGAAAGGCTGGGAAAAGTCGTTCAACTTTGTTTTCTTCTTCAAGATTGCTTTGACTATTCCAAGTCCTTTGCATTTCAGAATTTTATAGCAAGTGTTAATTTCCACAAAAAAACTCATGAAATTTTAATCATGTTTGTGTTCAATCTAGAGGCCTATTTGGCTGGGTGTGGTGGTGCACCTGTATTTTCAGTAGCTTGGGAGGCAGAGGCAGGAGGATTGCAAGTTCGAAGCCAGCCTCAACAATTTGGCGAGGCCTTAAGATCTTTAATTTTTCTCAATAATAGTTTATGAGTTGTTAATGCTTTATAACTTTTTCAGTTTCTTTTCTGATTTCATTTTGGATAACTGCTGTTAAAATGCTGGATAATGTTTTCAGTGTAGAGATTTTCCATTGGTAGATGAATTTCACTTTATCCAGCAGAATTATCTTTAGCATTTTCTGTTTGTTTTTAAGAGCATGTCTGCTAGTGACAGATTTTATTTTCCTTATATTTGCTAATTATATAATTCTGGATCAAATATTCATTTATCTGAGCACTTGAAAGATATATTGATTCATTGGCATCAGTAGTTTCTGAAGAGAATTTTAGTTTATAAGATGGGGTTCACTGAGTGTCTTGAATATGTGAATCTATTATGTCCTTTACCAGATTTATAAAAATATCAACCGCTGTCTCTTGGAATACCTTTTTCCTCTTCTTTTGGTTCTCTCGTTACACATATTGGACCTTTGATTGTTACCCACAATTTCCTAAGACTTTGTTCATTTTTTAATTATTTTTTCTTTATCTTTTGTTTTTATTTTGGATAATTGTTTTATGCTTCTTTCCAAGTTTACTAGTTGTCTCCTATTGTATCTCTTCTAATGAGCCTAACCAGTGAGGTTCTTGTTTTTGTTTTGTTTTAAACTTCCAGATACTGTTATTTTTATTGATAAAATTTTCACTTCATACTTTATAGTTTTTCTGTTTCGAGAATTTCTGCTTTTTTTAAATTAATTTCAGGTATGCTTTCTTATGTTTTCTTTAACAAAACATAAGATAGAATAGCTTCTTTAAATATATTTATTTTATTTTTTTTAGAGACAGGGTCTCACTGAGTTGCTTAGGGCCCCACTGAGTTGCTGAGACTGTCTTTGAACTTACAATCCTTGCCTCAGCCTCCCGAGCCACTGGGATTACCGGCATGTGCCACCATACCTGGCTGCTTTAAATTTTAAAACTCCTTTGTGATAGTTCTAGCATTTGGATCATATATTGTCTTTTAAAATTGGTCACAATCTTGGTTAGTTGCATACTAAGTAATTTCAGATTGTATTCTAGGCATTGTGAATTTTATGTTGTATAGAAATGCCATGACCAGCGCTGCCAAACTAGCAGGTTCCAATGAGGGATGATAGGAGATTGGAAGAATAAAGACTCAGGTACTCAGATCTCGAAGATACACAGCTGGGATTGGGTAGAGCACTGCTCTCTGATAGAGAAGCAGGTCTAAAGAATTATGCTAATTATAATCTTTATTGTATATGTCTCATTAATTAGATTAAAGACTATGTAAGCATTATTCTTTGTATTCATGAAAGTTACCGAGTTAGCAACATCATGCATTTTATTCCTCAGTTACATTCTACAGTTGCAATGTGCAATGTTAGGAGCATTGTGTAGTTCTCAAGAAAATCCATTGTTTAAAGTTACTATTATATAGGCATGTTCAGGAGCAGCAGAGCTGGTGAAACATTGTGGTTGTCTTAGCAAGAGAATTCTTTCATTCCCAGGAGCTGTGTGCCTGAGAGCAAGGTAGAGGCTGATAAGACTCTAGCACAGAGCCTTTCCATAGAGGGCATTACCATAGCAACCGGGCATCCTGCACCTTTGCACAGAAACTTTCCCAGGTACCAAGCATGCCACAACCATGAAGTCATCAGGGTCCCCAATCTTAGACACTGGTCTCCCAATCACTGTCATCTCTCTCCACATAGAAACTTATGTGGGTGTTGTAAATCTCAATTGTCCAAGCCTTTGCCACATTAACTCCCTCAGGAGTTAGTCATCATGAAACCTGTGTGTGGCAGTTGTTTTCCAAATTGTTGTATGTTTGTTTGAGGGTCTGTTCTGTTCAAGTATAATTCAGAGCTTATATTGTGACTTGTGCAAGTTTATATACAGAATTCAGGATTGTTCACTCCAGTTCTCTCCTCAGAAGTCTTCCTGCACTCTTTACTGATTTTAGCAGTTTGATCTTTATGTGACATATGATGGTTTTCCTCATGTTTCTTCTGCCTGAGATTCATTTAGCTTGTACGTTTTATGGAATTTTAGTTTTCATCAAAGTAAGAAGATTTTGACCATTATTTTTTCAAATATTCTGTCCCCTTTCCCTCTCCTCTTCCGGGACTTCACTTGTACATGTTAGAAGACTTAATATGCTGTATATATTTCTGTTTCACTCTTCTGTTTTTAATTTTGTAGAGTTTTATTGCTGTGTTTTTTTGTTTTTAACTACAGAAAAATCTCTTCAATAGGTTTTCTGCATGTACTTCACAGAGAATACTTAATGATTTCTTTTTTCATTTTTGGATGTAAATTTATTTTATTCTAATGTCCTTTACTATGTATACATGGAAGTTGAATATAAATTAAATTAAGAGTAAGCATGCTTTCTATTCTTATTCAATATAAAAATCACACATAATTTCAAATGACAAATGTTTTATTGAAACCAAATGGCACTTTTTATATTTGTGTGCACTTTTTACTTTGTATTCACTAATCATTTCTTCTTTAGTGTAAAATATACTGTTAATCTCATCTAGTACATTTTTCATTTTAGGTATTGTCACTGTTGTCTTATAAGTCTAATTTGTTTTAATATCCTCTGTTGCTCTCATCATTTTCGTATTTTTCCTTATCTTTCTGGGACATATGGAATACATTTAATTAATTCTGTTGTATGTGTCATTGCTGATCAGTTTCTGTTGACTGTTTTTTTTTCCTGATTGTATTTCATATTTTCCTTCCTGCTTCTTTGCATGCCTGGTAAATTTTGATTGGATGCTACACATTTTGAGTTTTATGTTTCAGATGCTGGATTTTATTGTATTTTTAAAATACTTTTTTAGTTGTAGATGGACACAATATCTTTATTTATTTTTATGTTGTGCTGAGGACTGAACCCAGTGCCTCACATGTGCAAGGCACACGCTCTACCTCTGAGCCACAGCACCAGCCCCTATTGTATTTTTTAAATTGCACTTTCTTTGTGACACACTTACTTGGAATTCATTTCATTCTTTCAAGGGTTTGTTTATAGGCTTTGTCAGAGCATGCTTAGAGCACATTTTAATCTGGGGCTAATTTTGACCTTCTGCTAAGGCAATGTTTGATACCCGGTGAAACAGTACAATTTTCCACTATGGCTCAGTGGAATGCAACACATTCCTGCCCCTATTCTTTTGCTATGGTTCTTTCCCTGTCTACACACACTTATACACATAAGTTCTTTTTCTGTGTAACTCCTTTTTTTCCATATATATATTTTATATTTAAAATATTTTGTGTATGTAAAATATATATATTTTATACACACACACACATATATAATATGTTTCTGTATTATGCAACTCTTTTTTCCCCAATATTTTCTCCCCTCAAATTTTAGCTACTTCTGTTTCCGCAACTCTGAACTCTTTGTCTGTAACTTAATGAAATTACTGGGCTCTGTTTGAGTTTCCTCTCCATCACTATGCCCTGGAGACTTCAGGCAAAAAGTTGGGCAATCATGGGCCTCACTGTGTTTGTTTTCCTATCCTCAGAAATCACTATTCTTGCTGCCTGTTTAATGATTAAAAACCGTTGCTTTATCTATTTGATTGATTTTTTTTTTCCGTCTTAAAGAGGAAGCTAGATCTGGTCTTAGTTAATCTATTATGGCAAGGAACAGAATATCTCATCCCAGCCTTTAAGTTTATTGAAACTAAAATTGGGTTGAAATTAGCATGGTTTTTATTTCTGTGCTGTTTCAGGTGCATAGACATCCATTCAGGCTTGTGTTTCAGGAAGTTGAAAGAGATAACAGAAATTATAGGTTAGGGTAGCTAGTGTGTAGTATTGTTTTCCTCCTAATGTCCTTGTTGTTTCTCTTGAAACATGTATACAACATGCCATGTATCAAAAACACAAATGGAAGCCATGTCACATTTCTCATGTCCAGACTCCTTAGAGTGAAGTAGCAGAACTACACTTGCTTGAACTTATTTCTGTACATGGGGACACAGCACAAGTGACATTGTGTATGACAAAGTTTAAAATTGTTTGAAATATTAGTGTATAATTGTGTAGGTGACACAACATGGTCAGGGATGCCATTAGTACTTTGAAGGAGGAATCGTGCTTGCTTTGTTATCCAATTTAACCCACAATTTCTGCATTAGCTTAGTGCCACAGGAAGACCTGAGTGAAGAGCTTTCTAAAGATGAGGTCATCCTGAAGTTGAAAGCAGAAGTGCAGCGCCTGCTGGGGAGCAACTCATTGAAGCGTCATCTGGTGGCTCAGTTACAAAAGGACCTCAAGGACTGTCACCAGAAAATTGAAGATCTCCAAGAAGTGAAGAAAGATGACAGGAGCATCGAGATTGAGGTTTGTAGAGCCTAGAAGCTGTTTTGAAAAGATGTAATAAAGAAACTTTCTTGCTTTTTTTTGTTGAAAGGAAACCTTTGGCTGACAAGGATCATTTGACTTTAGAAGTAAAGTTTAAAGAGGAAATGCCACTTAAAGGAATGTATTTTCTGCTTACTCTTGTCACCTAGTAAATGAGATGCCAATTAGGTAAAATTTCTTTACCACAAATTTAAGGAAGCATTCTATGTAACAGGGTCTTGCACTTTCTTCAAGGTTAATTTATATAAGTAGTGCTTTAAAAATCTGATTTTTAATTGCTCAGTTGGTAGAGTGCTTGCCCTGCATGCACAAGGCCCTGGGTTTAATCCCTGGCACCACACACACAAAAAGAAAAGAAAAAGAAAAAAATCTGATTTTTTTCTGCACAGTGAAATCCTTTAGAATTTTGAATGTGAGATTTCCCTGATCCATATTCTTCTAACAAAAGTCACACTATACAAGAAAATAAACCATACAGTGGTGATACAGATGGAAGAAGCATAAAAGCAGATTCTGTGAGTCCTTGAATTCCACTTCTGTATTCTTCAGGCAGTACCCTTGCTTCATAGGTAAGGAAAATGAATCTGGGGGAGTCGGTGAGCCTTCTAAGGTAACAGAGTCAGTCTTAGGCAAATTGAAACTAAAACTTGACTGATAAATGGCCAAGGCTGCTTCCTTAGGGCCATGCTGTGTTCAGCCCACCTTTCCTTCACAAATCCTTATCTACCTATACCGCCAAGAGAAAGTGATACAGGAAACGCCTAATAATTAAGAAAGGGCAAGGGGGAAAGGAAGGACATGAAAGGATATTAAACTTCTGTATGTTCTAAAAGGAAATCTATTAAGAGAAAGAACACATCAGTTTAAAGTTTCTTGGCTATCTTTCTAAAGAGAACTGAGCAATCAAAATCCTCTCCTGGGTATTTCTAAGTATACATTCTAAGTTTCAAGAGGGCCAGCAAAACTATGGATTATTTGGCATGTTTCTTTTATGAACACTTGAATGATATGGATATTTGTTGCTTTATACATACTTTATAGTATATTTTTATGTTCATTTATAATCATCTTATATAGAACAATTTAAAGTCATTATGGAGTGTTGTATTTTTTTTGTTTTCATTTTATATGACTTCATAGCAGTAGTTTAATATTTAAAGCTGAATTTTCACTCAGGAATCTTATCTATAATAATAAAATTGTTCTGTACAAAACCCCAATAATACTGCTTTATGACTATTTTAGTCAGCTTTTTTTTTTTTTTGCCACCGTGACTAAAAGAACCCAACCAGAACAATTGTAGAGGAAGAAAAGTTTATTAGAGGGCTCAAGGTTTCAGAGGTCTTGGTCCATAGAAGGCCGGCTCCATTCCTCAGGGCTCAAAGTAAGGCAGAACATCCTGGCAGAAGAGTGTGGCAGAGGGAAGCAGCTCACGTGGTGATCAGTAAGCAGAGAGAGAGAGAAAGATCTCCATTCTGCAGATACAAATATATACCCAAAGCCACACACCAATTCCTGCCTCGTTCAGCTATATCTTGCCACTTCAGTTACCACTCAGTTAATTCCTATCAGGGCATTAAATCACTGATTGGGTTCAGACTCTTACAACCCAATCATTTCTCCTCTGAACCTTCTTGCATCGTCTCACATGTGAGCTCTTGGGGGACACCTCACATCCAAACCATAACAGTGACATTTCTAGGATAATATGGAATTGGGAGACTGCCCATACATAGCACTGGGCAGTGATGGGGAGCAGATCAAATATTATGCAATTCACTCCAATTGACCAACCGGGGCCAGTAAGGTAGATAGTGGTTAGAATATGGTAAAGGCCTTAGGTAAACCAGGCTGGCTTACTAGCAGCCATATCTACACTGAATTTTTTTGTGAACACAGAACTTTTTGTGTCTGATTCTCAATGAAGAGTTTTACCATACTTCAAGTTGTGGTTGAAGCTAAACTCTGATTCCAAAAGTATTGGAGAGGCAATGTTCAGTAGCCAACTCAGAAGGTTTCTATCTAGAATCTTTTTAGACATACAGTTAGTGTATTAAATTTCTTGTTTTCTTGAAGATAGTGTGTTCAGTATTCTACTTTTGAGAAGAAATTTTATTGTGACATTCAAGTAATCTTTTCACTTTAAAGATCTTTTTTTAAAAAAAAATTTAGTTATAGTTGGAAACAATACCTTTATTTTATTTATTTATTTTTATGTGATGCTGAGGATCAAACCCAGGGCCTCTCACGTGCTAGGCAAGCTTACTACCACTGAGCCACAACCCCAGCTCATAAAGATTTTTTTAAAGGTACTGTGCTGATAAGTCCAAGTACCTAGTCCCTGTGTGATTGCAATGTGATGATTCATCAAAACCAAGTATAAAATCTAGCCCTGAAAAGCGTATTCCAGTGTATCAGTATAATGTGACTTTTATTCCCAGTAATAAAAACTCACCAGTTTGGAAGAAGCACAAATGAGTATCATAAAAAGTAGAGGCCAAGTCTTTTAAAAACAGAAGGCCATTCTAGGGAGTAAATAACATCTTTAGGTTTCATGCCCACCTCATTCCCTACATTTGGACAGAAGCTAAAAAAAGAGTAGATATTCTTAGCCCTTATTCTGACTGGGGTTGTAGAAATGTCTTCTGGGAAAGGTGGCAGGTGAAAAGGGAAAAGTCAGCTTGAGCTGTTTGACTCTGAAGGAATGAAGACTTATGCTCTACACTGAATTGGAAGACTGTCTTCCAAAGACAAAGTCTGCATGGGCAGAGATACCTGCCCCCCTGTCAGGAGCAGTACAAAAGTTGTTATAGATATTTGTTAAACATTAGAGAAAAGAACTCACAGTCAGGCATATAATATGCCAACAAGTCAAATATAGTAGATATAGTAGATGAATTTAAGAAATTATTGTGATTCCCTCTCAATAAAGAAATAGATAAGGAAAACATTCAGATAGGAAGAGGAAAAATATGCAAAGTTATTTAAACAGACAAATGTGGGAAGATGGAAAAACAAATGAATTACATATAAGAGGTTGCACTCTGGTGACAACGCAAGAAATACAAAGGAAACCAATTGGCAGATGCCCCTTTCCCATCGGACAACAATTATTTAAGGATAATCATTGGCAATGGAGATGAAAGTTGGATGGACTCATGTATCACCCAATGGTATCATTTATGTGATCTTTCTAAAAAGCAAGTTGTCAAAGTTTATTATGAAGCTTTAAAATTGTACCTATTAAAAAAAACATACATGAGTTAATACTGTTACAAATATTTACAGAAATAGAGTAAATGCTTATAGAGTATGATGAGAAATAAGATATTTGCCTAGTCTCAAAGAATCTTTTCAGAAGGTATTTATTATTTTACAAGCCAAAGGTGGTAAATTTACAATGGAAATGGCTGGAAGACACTGTCTTCAACAGTGAGGCATATTGCTATCCACTATCTGCTACCACAAGCATGTATCATTTCTTTGGCATTCATGAATCTAGTAAAGAAATAATATCAGAAAAACCCAAATTAAAGGATAATCCTACAAAATAACTGATTAGTTCTCCTAGAAAATGTCATGGGTTTGAAAGATAGAGACTGAAGAACTCTCATTGATTAGAGAAGACTATTGAGACATAACTTAATGCAGTGTGGAATCATGGAATTTGATCTTGAACCAAGAAAAAGGACACCAGAGGAAAACTGGAGACATTTGTGTGATGTCTGCAGATTGGTTGGTAATACTGCATCTGTGTTAATTTCCTGGTTTTGATAACTGTGTCATATGTGGGGAAGTGTGAAATTATGCATGCTGTTTTGCAGGGTTTTTTGTTAATATAAAATTATTTCAAAACAAATACTTTTGATTTCTTTTTAACACTTAGACCAAAACAGATACTTCAGAAAAGCCAACTAATCAATTATGGCCTGACTCTTCTACTTCTGATATGACTATTAGAGATGATGTACTGCAACTTAAAAATGAAATTCAAGTTTTGCAACAACAAAATCAGGTAATTAAAAATGTCCTATAAGTTAATGAGAATTTTCATGACTTTATTAAATATAAAAGAGATAAATACACTTTTAAAAAATACAGAAGCAATACGAGTTATTACTCAAGTATAGCAGTAGGCAGATATAGAATCCAGTTGTTTCCCTCTACTAGTGGTTTTGGGTAGTGGTTTCTTTGGAAATTTAGTGTAATTCCTGTTTCCTTTCTATCTAATGGCATGACTGATACAGGTGTTTTTTCCTTCTCAGTCAACCTTTGAGTGAAAAGTAAAATCTTGCTTATTTATTTAGATAGTTACCAAAGATTATTGAATTTTATGACTTATTTTAAGTATCAATTAGCCAGTACTTCCGGTTAAATGTTTTCATTTAATGTCAAAACAAATATAAAATATTAACTTTTATTCCTATCAAAAAGCTGCTTATCAAATAAATCTATGCTCTTACCAAGGTATAGAGCCATTTCTTTTGTAGAATTATGAAAATGAGATTATACCAACTAATGTTATAGGGTGGAATTGAGCACAGAGGATGTTAAAAAGATGAAGATAGATTAATTGATGAAAATGATGTTTGTTTCCTCTAAATACTTCATTTTTTTTTTCTTGTCTAGGAACTTAAAGAAGCTGAAGAAATACTGAAAAATACAAATCAAGACTTATGTAATCAAATGAGACAAATGGTACAGGATTTTGACCGTGATAAACAGGAAACTGTGGAGCGGTAAGTATGTAGATGCCAGATGCCTGCCTTCTGGGTCCCCCTTCCTCCAAGACACCCCACCCACCCACACACAAACACACAAAGATGGATAAAATGAATGTTTCCCTTTTGGGATCTTGAATTGGCAGAGATAAGTCCCTGGCTTCTCAATTAGAATTTGGAACACATTTTCCACAGAAACGTGGAAATATGGGTTCTATAGCATCATTAAGACTGCATCTCACTGAAATATTATAGCTTAGTGGGGTTTTTGTTGTTTGCTTGTTATTAAAGCGAGTCTGGGAAACTATTTTTTATAAAGAAGAAATCTGTGGGAGGAAATATGTCTTCCAAATACCAAATCATAAACTTGGAAACAGACTTTTGGGACATAACTTACATGTGAGATGGATGCTGCTAGTATTTGTGTTTAATATATATAACTTGGGATTTGGGAACCACACCCTCACTTATTTTAATTAATTTCTTTATAAACAGAAGTCCTCAATATAGATTACTTACTTTGTGTTTGAATGACTGGGACATTCTCACATCCAAGTTTGTCATTTTTCTGTAGAAACATGAAAAAAAGAAAATTTTGAAGATTCTCATAAGATTATTGGTTATAAATTAGTTATTACTGGTTTTGGTTGGAGAAAAGCAATCTGACCATCCTTATAATTGGCATTAGAGGGAAGAGGTAGAGAGGAAATGATTCTAGAAATTATTTTAGTGTTTCTAGTAATGCCGAGCATTGCCTTAGATCCCCTTCTCTGTTGCTAGGTGTGAAAGGACCTACCACCAGCACCATGAGGCCATGAAAGCCCAAATACGGGAGAGCCTATTAGCAAAGCATGCTTTGGAGAAGCAGCAGCTCTTTGAGATTTATGAAGCGACTCAATCTCAGCTCAGGTGAGAATAAGACTTCGGCTGCTCTGCAACTATAGAGACAACCATTCTCCTAGTCCATAATTTAAAGGAAAATTGTTTGTTATGCGGCCCTTTAATTTTTCTGTGGTCATTTAGTTGCTGGTTTTGTGTATCCAAGGTCTGACATCGATAAGTTGAGTAAGGAGATAACTGCTGTGCAGGAATGTTACCTAGAAGTGTGCAGAGAGAAGGATACTCTAGAGTCGACTCTCAAGAAGACCACTGAAAAGGAGCAGCAAGCTCAGGAACAGAAGGTATGGTAAAGTTTATGCTGATTCTTCATCACCTGGTCTCTCAGGCCTCAGTTTATCATGGAAACTGACACTTTTGGCTGGGGGATGTGAATGGGGACAGTGTCCCTAGAAGTCTCTTCACTTTGGGCTATACTAATATAACTTGGGAATATAGTAAATATTGAAATCGCTATTAAAACCTTTGTAGAAAATGTCATATGCAAAGGAGGAAATATTTTCTTGTAGATTTATTCTAGAAGGCAAAGAAGTGTGGACCAGACTCACTTTAAGCCTAAAACCCATGGCTCCTTATTTTCATTTTGTGTTGACTGCCCAACTTTCTTTGTTTCTATGACCTCTGCACAGTGTGTTCATTTCTTCAGAGGCCTTTTCCTCAGGCCCCTTTCTCTCTCAGTAGCTAATCATCATTTTATTCTTCTGGAAAGAAGGACAGGAGTTTGAATGTAGTCTCATGATAGGGAAGGTGAGGAAGGTCAGCATGTTAGCATGACCTCTTTCAGGGGAGTTGGAAGAGTGCAGTGGATGCCCTAACTTCTGCTTCTTCCAATCTGCCCTTGGTCCAGGAGTAGAGTCACAAGGAAATATTCGCCTGAGCTTCTTTTTCTCTACCCTGGTGGGGATTCTCCCTCACACACAGATTTGACTTTCCCTTATGCTTGGGACCAGCCTACTGACCAGTTTGAAAGCTCCCTGCCTCAGGATTAAGACATGTGTTTAAAGGCTTGAATAAATGTTTTATACAGAGAGTTTTGAGGAAGTTATATTAAAGCAAGGTATTGCTACCACAGACTTTTAAAAAAGAATAGTAAAGAGAAGATGAAGCATTCAGTTCATTTAACATTTTGATTATTTTTAATACATTAATATGATGAAAGAAGGTCATGTATGCATTTAGTGGAAAATTAAATGAAGCTGTTTTAGTCAGTGTTGGCAGTAAAAAAAGTGAAAAGGGATTTTATATTATCTAGAAATTAAGAACTTAGCTTTCAGTGATGTTTTTAAAATTAAAATATGGAGAAGATCTCTGTTTTTAAAAATATATATATTGGCAAGAACATAAGAGCAGTTCTCTCAACGAAGCCATTCTTTTCAGGAATTTTTGTTTGGGTATGTTTAAAAGAATCAATTTGACTATAAAATTGGATTTCATATAATAGGTGAGTTGCAATTAATAACTGTTACTGACTGATATTTGGACTTATGAATGTTTGTACATGGAGGAAAGGTTAATACTGCTGCTGTTTGGCTCTTTCCAAAAAAACAAATTTAGCAGTTAATTTTTTTTTAATTTAAAATTATCATGCAGTATAAGAAGTTATTTTTTTTCTCATTGGATGAATAGTTTATTGATTTTTTTAACACTTGTATATATTTGTCAGATTACAGAATAGTCATACCACTGTAAAAACTCCCTTGTGCTATCACTTTGTAATCACATCTACTCCCCACTTACAGGTCCAATGTATTTGGAACATTAGATGTTTAATTTCTTCCTTCTCTGGGAATTGTTTAGGCTTTTTTTTTTTTTAATACTGGGGATTGAATTCAGGGTCACAAAACCACTGAGCCACATCCCCGGCCTTATTTTGTATTTTATTTAGGGACAGGGTCTCACTGAGTTGCTTAGTGCCTTGCTTTTGCTGAGGCTGGCTTTGAACTCAAGATCCTCCTGTCTTAGCCTCCCAAGCCACTGGGATTACAGATATGCGCCCGGCTCAGTTTTTTAAATTGTGGAACTATAAGCACTTAGTAGTCTTTGTAAGCCAATCAGAATGAAGCACCTTTATATTTAGGAGAGTTTATTAATCTTTTCATCTCTCCTAGAGATTGACAAAGATATACCAGTTTGTTTTCCTAGGAAATGTTTTCCCATGCGCAGTTCAAGAACTTACTCTGGAGCAGCCTAGGGAGCTTTTGGGGTACCCCTTCTCTGCAGGACACAACTATTTTCTTGTGGTTGAGCTTTAGGTAGGGAACTTAGTTTGGCTATAGAATTCATGGAACAGGCAACCCCAAGAGCCCAAGGGTATATTTTAATGTTTCATATGTGCTGTTTTCTGAAACACTTGTTGAGTCAAGCCATAGGTTAAGCAGAAGCTCAGTTATGTCCTGAAGCATTTATTAGCACACAGACTTTTCTTCATGTGTTAGCTTTTCTTATTCAAAAAAAGTGGGCAAAAAACCTTACACAGAACTCTCTGGGTTGTGTAGAAATCAGTTTCGGCTATGAATTTGTAGACAAGACAAAGATGACCATCATTCCCATTCATAATGCCATTGCTATAACATGTTAAGGTATATTCATACAATTTCAGGCCAAACTAAGCCACTCCTTTACAGAGGTTAGAGAGTTGTTTTTGTTTTGCTTATTTTGGTTTTGTTTTTGCTATCTAAGCAAAGTACAACAAGTTTTATTTTTTTTAACTTGGAGAGACCATAAGTATTATTCAGAGATATTTACTTGAATTTTGTTTAAAGAGACAGCTGTTGGAGGAAAGAGAAGAACTTGTAAGCAAACTGCAGTTGGAACTTGAAGAAAAGTACCAGGAAACTCTTATCATGGAAAAAAACAAGTGGCTGAAAGAGCAAGAAACTGGTAGTAAACAGCAGGTTGAAAGCGAAATGATGTTAGCCAAAGCACATTGGGATAAGGAACAGAAAGAGGTGTGGGTTAAAATTTCTTTCTGGTCACTATGTTTTAAAAATGTGTTAATTATAGAAGACAATTATAAATAGACATAATTTTTAATTGGCAAGTGTATATATAATTCTCTGTTTTACCTTTCAGAGTTGAGCTCTTAGCAGCTTACCACAACAGTTTTACCTCTTAAAGTTAACCTCTCTTGACCCTTCAGCCAAATTCAGGATATAATGGGTTTACTGGGCACTTCTTTGATTCCTAAAAATTGAAACCATGATCTAATTTTATATTGTGAAGTGAAAATTTAGATTCTCCTATTCATAAAATTCTTTTTAATTTCTACTAATCTGGTAGCCAGGTAAGCAGTTTGAGAACTTTGGATACCCAGGAGGTGGGAACTGAAAAAAGAAAAAGCAAATCTTGCAACTTCACAGTTGGCCTAAGGTGGATTGTGTTTAGATCCATCCCACTACATTGTCGAAAGTAGAAAAATCAAGACATTCTTCTAGTAATGTCTTCCTCTTGAATGCAGTCTACTTAGTAAAATTTAACTTCATAACAAATAAAATGTCAGTATGTTCAAGTTAGTAAACTATTTTTTAGATTAATTAATTAGATTTACTCAGTGCTGATTTGTGGAAGCATGGTATCCATGATGGCAAAACCTACATTTATAGCAAAAGTTTTTCTTTTGTTTGTTTTTGTTTTTATTGTGCCACATGATAGTGTCAATATTAAAGCTTCCAGAAAGTTGCATATTGAACGCCAGTTAGTCTGACCTCACACAGCATAATTAAATCTTCCCTGTGATTTTTCTCACATAGTTAAGGTCAAAGAATAAATTTCAAGTTTTACTTGAAGAGTATGTTTTCATTGACTGAATTTCTAAACCTCAGATAATTACTATAACAATGTCTAGATGGTTTTCAAACACAGGTGAGGTTGCTTTTTTGTGTAGTTATTCTAGTTTTCATTTATTTGAGCATTTTTCTTCTTATATGATATTTCTTCTGAAAACAGATGAAACAAAAACTCATACAACAGCTGGAAAAGGAGTGGCAGTCTAAGCTGGATCAAACTGTAAAAGCTCTGAAAAAGAAAACCACAGATTGTGGAAGCCAAACTGACCAAGCAGCCACCCTGGATGTCATTTCCAAGGCAGACATGGAGGTCATGGTAGAAAAGCAGAAGCAAAAGCTCCAGCGAGATTTAGAACAGGAGAAGGAAACAGCTATCAAGGGGGCTTTGAAGAAACTCCAAATTGAATTGGAGGTCAAATACTGTGAAAATATTGCCCAACAGGTAATAGGCATGATTATTATAGAAATTATCGGTGCTCCCTACTACTGCAACTTTTGAACTTGTTTATAGATTTTAAAATTTTGTGCATTTCTAGAATAGAAAACCCGTTATGTTTTTCCTAAAGTGTTCTTCGTTATATTTCTGTCATAAAACTCTTACCCCTCAATTTTTCTGTATCTTCTTTCAGTGTACAAAATGTTTGTTCCTCTAAGATCTGAGATTTCACTTGAGGTTAAAGATGGCGGTTTTCCATCTGAATGAAGCACAATTTAATTGTGAATTTTTCACATCCAATTTCATAGAAAATTTCTCACCAAAATAGTTATAGATATAAGTATACTTGAATAAGATATTTAATAATATTAGTGTTGAGATTCAATGTGACTTGGGTCTGCAGGCATGCCCCATAAGTGGAATTTTGTCTGTAATTCTCATCATTTGCCAAAAAGTGGTGCCATTGTCCTTCCTTTGAAGCACTCAGATACTAAAGTATCATACTGAGAAAAATATAGTGTGTGTTAACAGAGTTACCTGTTATATGTATCTTAACTATTACAGTGCTTCTTGAGTTTGTTAGTCTCAGGACTCCTTTACACTTTTAAAAATGGAGGGGTCTAAAGAGCTTTTGTTTGTGTGGATTATAGATATAACCTATGTGACAAAATAAATTTGAGAAATTTTTTAAAAATAAGAAATACCCCAAACACAATCTCTGTTCGTTGTCAGAGCATTTTTGCCATCAACATAGCATGTAGTTCCTGGAACACTATGTTCTTTGTGCATGAGAGATGGCACCGGAAAAGGCAGATTGTGTTTAATATAATTTTGAAAATTGTTTTGGCTTCACAGACCACCTGACAGGGTGTCTGGCCTTCAAGAGGTTCCTGGACCTTGATATATCTTTGATGTATTTATTTCCTGAAAGACATATTACTTATTGTAAACTTCCAAAAAAGATAATACCTGAACTAAGGTTTTAAAAAATATGTTCAGGTTTTAGCTGGGTGCGGTGGCACATGCCTGTAATCCCAGTGGCTGGGGAGGCTGAGAAAGGAGGATTGAGAGTTCAAAGCCAGCCTCAGCAAACAACTCAGTAAGACCCTGTCTCTATAAATAAAATACAAAATAAGGGTTGGGGATGTGGTTCAGTGGCCATGTGCCACTGAGTTCAATCCCCAATAACCTCACCCCCCAAAAAATATATAAATACACACACTCCCATACTCAGTAGTTAAAATTTTGCTGGAATGTATTGTTTTACATGAGCTTACAGGGCATTCATAAGATCTGGAAACAGACAAATATATGTAATGGTATCAAGGATATTTTCAATTAATTAGATAGTTTTCTGAAGTGGTCAGTATGTTAAGAAAATGTTCCATAGACATAGAAATGTATTTAAAGACAATCTTGTGAAGACAAAGAAGAAAAACATTAGCATATTGTAGTATAAAGGAAATGGTTCATAATAACTTTTAAAGGAATATAAATTTTTATAGAAACTATCTTTTCTCCATATTCTCAATTCCTGGGAGTTTACCTGTAATTGTATTTAGTATGTTAGTAAGAAATATGGCCTAGTATATCAACTCTGTTTTTCTATTTATAAATATATGTGCATACATTTTAAAAGAAAGGAATAAATACAAATTATTTAATTAATGATCTTGTAACTGGTGGCAGATTTATGACCAGATCACCTTATAATTCATCCTCTTAAAATTTTCTGCAAAATGAGGTATTGCCCTTATTCTTTTGTACAAACTCACTCTTGACAGCAGGAAATTTTTCAGGTGTAAGGTTCTCAAACATAGTGATACATATATGTGTGTGCACTTGCATGCATGTATGAGGTGGGAGGAGCATGTGGGCATAGGGACGAGATAGCAGCTGGCACCGAGCAGCCCTTTGGCATACCTCTTTTTTCCCTAAGATAAACAGAAGTTTGTAGAAAATAAAATCGATACCTCATAAAGTTTTATAAGATAGTATTATTCATCAAACATCTCATAGATTCCCACTTTCTGTTGTGGCATTTGCATGGGACAGCATGGGAAGTTTAGAAAAAATAGATCTGAATCTACTATTTAAGATAAGGTAAAGTACTTAAAGTCAGTGTACCTGTGCTATAGTGAGACACAATGTCAAACGCACATGAAATTATAGTTGTTATTTGAAAGTGAGCTTTTTCTGAAATTTTATACCCTGCTTTGCCTCTTTGTCTTGTAATGTCCTACAGGTAGAAACAGCTGTGCAAAATGCTCGCCTTCGATGGCTAGAAGAACTGCCTGAGCTTGCAGAGTACAAAGCACGAATGAGAGTAGAACAGAAGAAGTGGGAGGAACAACAAGAGATCTCTGTGGCCAGAAGGGTAAGCACTCTCCTGGAGAGAAACTTCGGGAAAACCTCTCCCTGGCTTCCTCTTTTGCCTCTGTCCTGGAAATTTGTTCCTACTCATGACAGTGCATGTTAAGCATTAACTAAGGGCTTAGCATGTGGTGTCTGTTATTATCATCAAATTGTGTAGGGAAAGAGAATGTATTTTAGCATCTAAAAACTCTCATAGAAAGATAACCTTGACTTAGAAATTAATTCCTATTCTGTCTTGCACTATCTTTAGACAAACTTGAGAACAGGTGGTTATCTGTTTACTATTAACTGTACAGTATACTTTTGTGAGTGTGAAGGTTTTCTGTGCCATGTCAGTCACCTTACAACATAATCTCTTTGGTAAAGGGCCAATTTTCCAGAGATGTCATGTTCCTTGAAAGGAAAACCCAGATATTATTACCATGTGATCTTCAACTTAACTCACTAGTCTAAACCAATTCTACTCAAAATGCCAACAAACCAAAAATAATTTTGAAATTTGACACAACAATTCTAAAATGTATTTAGAAAAACAAAAGGCTTAAAAAATTGTTTAGTGTCCTGGAAAAGGAGTCCCAGTCCAGCTTTCATATATAATAGACTATATTGGAAAGAAACAACTTGGACAGTTGAGTCACAGAATTAGAACTGTTTTAAATTCAGTACAATATAGAATTCAGTGATAGGCCTAACTATGAATTAAAGCATAATAAATTGTTTCAAAATAAGAGAATGAGGAATTATTCCTTAATAAATCATCTTATGATAGTCAGATAACTGTGGAAAAATGTTTATATGCTTCACAATAAATACTAAGTTGATGGAATTAAACACTTTTAAGTGAAAGTACAGAAAAATTAAAATAAAATTAAATATTTCAGATCTGTATCCCAATAACAACCCAATTTTGAGGCAAATGAACCTGACAGTAAAGATAAAGTAATAGATTTAAAATATGTACAAATGTTTAAAACATTTTTGTTTTTGCAATAAATAGCAATGTCAAATAAAGATGAGAATAAAAATAAGGAAAATAAATGAACCACACCTGAGAAATGTTAATCTAATATATAACAAAGCGTTAATATAAATTCCTAAGAAAAACAAAGAGTTCAATGATAAATACACCAACGACATGAGCCGGCAATCTCCATAAGTCCAAGCAGCAAAAAATCAGTGGAAGAACATCCATACCTGTCAGTATGAAGGAAATAAAAACCAAAATAGATTTAAGGTGCCATTTTATGCCATATGTATAAATCCTCTCTTCGGAATTACACAACATGCAGAATATAATTTTCTGCATTATATGATACATAGAATTTAATAGATTACAGTTTCAAGAATGTGCAGTCTTCTGATGGCCATTTTTGAGAATAATGTGGAATATAGCAGAAGTTGTAAATGATTCATATCCTGTATTCCTCATTGTACACCACACATTACTTGAGGAAATATTTCAACATAGATCAAAATCATTATGTAGTAGTACATGGGTATTTGTTATATCATTATCTATATACTTTCTCATGTATCTGAAACATTTCAAAAGAAAATTTAAGAAGGAGAGAGAAAGCGGAAAGAATATAATAGTGAGGATATTTGTCTCAGAGCTTAGAAGTCAGGTAGAATATAGAAATTAAAATAGGCCAAAAGATCTTTCCTTAAGAGAACAGAAGGCCTGAATGTATGTGAGTGCAGAAATATAGAAGTGACAGTGTATTTCTTCTGAAACTTCAACAAATGTGAGACTCACCTGCAGGGTCTATAAAGATACAGATTCCTGGGCTTTCTTTCCATCTAGAGATAATGAATTGATAGGTCTGGACTGAGTCCTGAGAATTTGCATCTCCTACAGTCTCTTGGGTGTCTGCTAGTCTGTGGACCACACTTGGTTGTGAGTAACACTATTCTAGATAATTGTATTAGCCACAAAACATAATGTTAACTTGTTGTACATCCTTTCTCCAACCAAAGGAGCTAGAGAAAGGACTCAATTCATAGCATCTACCAGAGAATTCCTTTAAAATTGGAGTTATCATGAATCCAGATCTGTGGCAATGTAAAAATCAGTTTCTAGAGTTCACAAGTGGTCAGGGTAGTTCAGTGGTTCCCAAACTTTGCTGCACATTGAAATCACTTGAGGATCTTAAAAAAATCCTATTGCCTGACTTCCATCCTCAGATTGTTTTGATTGCTATTGTGTATAGCCTAGGCATCAAGATTTTGTAAAGCTCTTTAGGTGATTCTGGTTGATTTGAGTTGACTAATATTATCAAATTATCCTTATAGAACTTCACCTGAGAAGGTATGCATTTTTGGTAAAGTTTGGCAGGTCATCTAAATTCCATTGGACTATATCTATTCAAGTCACCTGGTAATGATTCTCAAGCATCCATTGCAATGTGATCCTTTTTTTTTTTTTTTTTCCTAAAAAAACTATTTAAATGGGTTTCAAGTAACTACTGAATTATTCTTGTGGTGGAGAGGAATTTTATGATAACTTCCTTTGTAAGCTTACCTTAGACAGTGAATTTAATAAGTAAGTAGTCATGCTGTCATTCCAAGTACATGTAAGAAGTATTGCCTATAATAATCACCACTGGGTCAGCCTTTGAGGTACTCAGTTCTTTCTCATTTGACACTGTTATGTCCTGATTTCTTTGAATACGGTGAGGGAGAATTAGAAGTAAAAGGAACTCAAGGTTATTCTCCAACTGCTCATTTTTTTGGCGAAAATAGTAAGTTGCCAAAGAGATTAAATTAAGTGGCTTTTCCACAGCCATACATCCAAAAGTAATTCAAGCTATGTAACATTTGAGTCTTAGTTATCTACAGGCTCTGGGTTGAGTACTTTAAATGGATTATCTCCTTATATCATTTAATCCTAAACAGTGCTATCAAATTGGCGTTGTAATCATCCCTACTTTACAGGCAATGATACTGAGGCTCAGAGAAGTTGAGTAGTGGGCCTGTGGTCATAGTGACCCATGAATGCCAGCAGTTGTCTACAAGTCTACCCCTTCAAGCCCTCTTGCTAGGCCATCTCTGCAGTCAGTGCAGAACTGGAGCTGGAGCCCAGGGTTTTGATTTCCTTATTACTTTTTGGTTATGGTCTGCTGTTTTATCTGCTTATTCCTTTATATTGTTATAAAAGAAAAGGAGATTAATGAAAAATGACTTCCTGTTTGATATTGTCATTTAATGAACTGTTTTAACCACTAAAATTGCATGACTTGCCTATTAACAAATAATTATGCAGGTATGTGTTACATTCCTAATAGTAAGGTTTCCTTATGGGATTGCTTTTGCTTTAGAAAAAAGATGCTTAATTTGTAGGGGGCTTAGATAAAAGTTGAGACTGTATCAGTATTAAAAATATCAGGATTTATTTTTTATTTTGTTTAAAGAGAGAGAGAATCTTTTTTTTTTTTTTTTTTTGGTAGATGGACACAACACAATGCCTTTATTTATTTATTTATTTTAATGTGGTTCTGAGAATCGAACCCAGGTCCCGTCCATGCTAGTCAAGCGCTCAACTGCTGAGCCACAATCCCAGCCCTCAGGGTTTGATTACAATTTGGACCACCAAAAAATATATATATATTAATGTGGAATATTTTTCTAACATTAATTATATAAATATTTATATAAATATAAATACAAAGAATGAATATATAAATTTATATTTCAATTTCAGCTTCTAGTTCTTCTTTCGGAAATTGATATTTTTAGATAACATAAGCCATAAACTAGCTAGTGATCTAAAATGAAGGAAAAGATCCTCAAGATTTCATCCAAATTTGCTTTTTTTTCTTTAATTTTAATTTTAAATCTCTTGAGAGGTTAACCTAAATTGTTGCTTAGTTTAATTTTGTTATTAACGAGGAGAATCATAAAGACTTTTTAAACATGTTATATTCTTCAGCTGGCATTGGCTGTGTCTGAAGCTAAAGAGAAGTGGAAAAGTGAGATTGAAAATATGAAGAAAAATATAACGCTGGGCAAGAACTTGGAAGAGAAGATTCATTCTCTCCAGAAGGAGCTGGAGTTAAAGAACGAGGAAGTCCCTGTGGTTGTCAGGGCGGAATTGGCTAAGGCCTGGAGCGAATGGAACAGAGAAAAGCAAGAAGAAATCCACAAAATTCAAGAACAAAATGAGCAAGATTACCGTCAGTTTTTAGATGATCATCGAAATAAAATTAATGAAGTGCTTGCAACAGCTAAAGAAGACTTTATGAAACAAAAAACTGAACTGCTTCTCCAAAAGGAGACAGAATTACAAGCTTGCCTGGAACAGAGCCGTAGAGAGTGGACAGTGCAGGAAGCCAGGCGGATTCAACTAGAAATCCATCAGTATGAGGAAGACGTCCTAACTGTGGTTGAACTTCTCTTAATGGAAACCCAAAAGGAGTATGTCAGTGGTTCAGAGAACAAGCAGCTTTTGGAAATCTTGTCAACTTGTTCTTCAAAGTGGGTGTCTGTGCAATATTTTGAGAAACTAAAAGCCTGCATACAGAAAGTACTTCAAGATACAGTCTCCATGCTTAAAGAAAATACCAGCCCAGAAGGGGAAAAGGTATGTTCCTCAGAGTAAAAAAGAGCTGTTGGATGTTAAGGATGACTGTAGAGGTTGCATTTTTTTTTTTTTTCCTTTCTTTTTAGGAGATGAGAGACTTGTATTTATATCAGTGGTTTAAAACACATTTTGTAGAAAATTCAAAGGATCTATATTTTGTTGCCAAAGAAACTTTACTGCTTCATAGTACCACAAAGTGAGGCTGAGTTTTTAGCCACTATGTGTCTTTTTCCTAAGAAAGAAAATATGCTTTCCTTTGAAAGGATGAGATTTCAGAAACTGAATAACTCTTATTCTTATTTTTCATTTTCTGGGTCTAACACTTTAAGAAATATGTATCATATAAGCTGTAGTTTCTTAAAAGCTTCTGAAGAGCTTGGAAGCCTGTTTCTTGCCCTCAGTGAATTTATATCTTATTTAGGCTAAAAATACCAATCAAGTACAAAAAGTATTGGAACACAAACAAGCAAATAAGAGGTATGGCTCACACACCCAAAACCCTAAAATCCAGTTTCATTGATTCACCTGGTATGTGCATATAGAATGGATTAATTGTATTCTTTTAGTTGAATAAGTATTCTCTGAGACTGACTTTAAGATTGTGTGGAAGAGCTGATAAAAACCAAAGTCTTTCTTCCTTATAATTAAAGAAATTAGGTATGCATGAAAGATCCAGAAAAAGGTTCTAAGTTTCAGCATGTGGAAAAGATGTCAGTATTATCAGGTTGTTTGAGAGAAGAATTCAGACATATGAGTTGAGATCCATCAGGATATCATGACTGAAGATTTTTCAAGGTCATAATTGAGAATTTTATATTAACACATATAGGAAAGAGTTATAAGCTAGGAAAAAAAAATCTGAGTTCCAGTAATTTGGTGATAGTTAGTTTATTGCTTTGGGCAAATATATACCATAGTTGTTCAATCTGAGAAAAACAAATCAATCCCTGGCTTAGTTCCTTAAATTTGGGTGCAAGATATGCATGACATATCTGGGCCTTCCTATACACAGCATGTGAAAAAGTACATAACTTTAGAACCAGAAGGGACCTAGAAGATCAGTCCACTTTGTCCCACCCCAGTTGCTGTTTTTCTCCTTGATTTCACAGAGATGTCATTCTTGAGTAGTTGCCTTCAAGGGGATAAGATTGCTTCCCATGAGCACTACTTAATCCTTTATTGAGAATCTTTGGAGAAAAATAGATAATTAAAAATAAGAACATTATCTATAGCAGGTTTTAGGATGAGAAGTGATGGGAAAATCGTGTCAATGTTTTCAAGTTTGTTTTCCTGAAAAGACAATCTCTGCCTTAAAACATGAAGAAACTACACCACCTTTTCCATTTATATTTTTATTTTGTTGGCATTGCAGTTGTAATGAATTTGACCCCTGCTTCAGTGAGAATATTCTGTGTTTTCCAAATGGTGTGGAATACACACACACACACACACGTACACGTACACATACGCATACCCAATCAACCTGAGGTGTTTTTATAGGGCTTATAATTATATACACATTTTAAGGTCATCTGTGTGACTTAATGTGGCTCACAGTTCTGTGGAGAGAGAATCAAATAATCTCGCTAAGAATTTAGTTTTTGTTTGGTGGGTCTGGTTCCATTCCTGAGGAAAAGCTGACTTTGAAGTGCCCAGTCTGGCATTTGTCATAGAAGTAATACTTGACCTTCTACCATAAGCTAGCTCAGCTCAGGATGTTGAGGTAAATCAATGATTATAAATTTGCAATATAGGTGCTATCAATATGAATAACTATAATTTGTTAAATCTGTACTTAGAATTGTTCATGGAAATTAAAAGTGGAAAACTGTGTATTTAAAGAAGTCTTCATTAAAACAGCAGAAGTGATCAAAAGTTTCCTAGAATGGAGAGGATGCAGTGACTGGAAAATGTCGTTTCTAAGAAATGGATGCCTTATCAAAATACATTAGTGGAACAGCTCACAGTGGATAAAAGAAAAATATCAACTGGAGCAAAATTTTCCAGGAACCTTAAGGATGTATATTCTGTTTTTGTTTTTGTTTTTTTCTTTCAAAGTCAGGTTAAAATTAAGACCAAAAAGGTTATTGCTTTCCTACCTTTTTTGGTCATCTTGGCTTTTCTTCTCCAATTTTAAGTGGAAACTAGAGATATTAATAGCCTTTGATTCAGCTTTTATTTCTCTGTTGGGCCTCAGTCTTGTAGCCTCTTAATTGTGAGCCTCTAATTCCCGCCTGCTGCTTCTGTGGGACACCATACATGGGCTTCCTGACATTCAGTGATTGGGTTTCTCAGAATTAAAATCAAGGCTTCTAGAATCAAGCAGAGCATGTGTTTTAAGAATAAAAAACAAGATTGCTTTAAAACATCATGTATTCTGTTCCTTTGGTATTTAATAATTGCGCCAAATCTGAAAATATTATCTTAAAAATCAGTGAGTTTTATAGCTAAGCCTCAGTTTCTATCTTTAACTGGAATTTGATTGGCATTTCTTATCTAATGAGAGCGTACGTTAAAGTACTTAGGAACATTTAAGTACTAAGTAAGTTTATAATTAAGTTTATTGTTATTTTCAGTTTGGAGGAGGCAAAAGGTTGATATTGTAGTTGCTAATGAATTTGATCTCTGCTTCAATGAAAATGTTCTGTATTTTCAAGAATAATTCTGACTTCATATTGTTTGTCCTGTGGTTTGATAACATAAATTATTCAAAGTCTCTTAAATTCATATGTAAATAAATGTACAAGGTGAACTTCCTGTCTCTGTCATAGCAGGCCTATCAGTCCTCTGTTGGACTAGCCTACTAGGAGGCTCCTAGTGACATGTAGCACTGTGAGAAAAACATTAGTGATAGAGCACAATTGTTTTCAGGCAATGTTTTTATTTTTATTGTTAGCATTTTAGATAGAAATTTATATCAATTTTTTTGTGGAGGATACTCATTATGAAGATAATTTTTTTTCAGAGAAATATGGTCAAGATCTCTATGAATCCTGCCAGCGAGGGTAGTAGGAGAGGAGATCCTGGAGTCCCAGCAGCCCTTCCTGCACCCACTTCCAGATACCAAGCACAGCCTTTGCCCTTGCAAGAAGCAGAAGCTGGTAATTGGATTTTGTTTCCATGAGTCTTTATAATATGTGTAATCACTATTCCAGAGGGGCGTCTTGAGGATAAAAGGAAATCAAAGATGTGAACAGTTTTCTGAGTGAATAAATATATAAATTACTCTGACTTGATTTCTATTTTCTCCTTAGATTTTATTTTGTATTTAGAGGACAGAGTTGAATTAGATCTTTTTCTTAAATTTTGTTCTTCTGTCTTTTTATAGATTTTACTCCATTCATGTGATTCTATTGTAATTACAAGGAAAATAATGAGAGTTTTAATAGAGCAGTCATGTTTTTATTCCCTGACTTTTGAGAAATTAAGGGTTTCATATAAGATATGGAGACTTTAATGGTTTCATATAAGATATGCCAGATAATGGAGACTTTTTTCATTCAAATTACTGAAGTTTATTTCAACCATTTGTTAATGGAAGAAATACTTGTGAAATACATTAGATATTTTCTAACTTATTTGTATGCTTTTTTAGGGCAGGGATAGTATTTTTAATCTCTTCCTTTCCAACCATGGTGAAGTGAAGAATGCAGAGTTTGTATTCCTTGAACATTTGATGACTTAATAGTTTAACTTTTATTTGGTGGCTTCAACTTGTCATTATGGGAAAGACTATACTGTAACACAGCCCCTTATATTCAGAGCTTACTGAGGAACATCGAGTTTATATTGCCTATTTACTGAAATTTTTGAGCTAGGAATTGGCAAATCCTTCATAAACTTTCATCCTTTTTAGCATATTGATCGCTTGCAGCCTGCTCCTGCCCCCCACACAAACATACCTGCCTTTCTTCTTCCTGTTGTTGTTTCCATGTAACCTGGAAAAGAACTAGCAATTTCCAGAAGAAATCACACATACCAAGTTATTTACCTTAGTTTCCACATTTGTAACTCAGTAGGCATATTTACCATAATTGTAGATTAATCTCTGCCTGTCCTAAGAGGTCAATTGACAGTTTTCTCATTGTTCACAGACCCTTTTCCTGTGCTTGTGGGTTCTTATTGCCAGTTAGGTTGATAGTAATGCTACTCTTAATTTGTATTTTGCTTCTTACTTTTCATGCTATACCATATTTGGAATAGCCTGAAGGTTGTATTTTAACAATAAAATTTGTAGAAATAAATTTTAAATGATATTTGGCTTTGGGAAGTTCTATGAAAGAAATTAGATTTGGCTGAAGATAAATCATACTATAAAACGGTTTCTTTTTCTTTCTTTAGACTGTTTCCCTTAAAAACAAACACAATAATAAATTTATTAGAAAGGATTAGATCCAGGGGTTAAGGATATAACTCAGTGGCAGGGCGCTTGCCTAATATATGCAGGTCCCTGGGTTTGATCCCCAGCACCAAAAAAAGGGAGGAAGGGAGGGAGGGGAAAATAAAGAAAAAACAAAGAAGGGATTAAGTCTGAAATATATTAAAAGATAAAGTCCTTTACAGTCCTAGAATCAGAGAATACTACTACTGACGGTTTTGTTACAGTCTCTTAATATCCTATTATTTTTATTAAAAAGTAATTTAAACATTAATTACGAAATACTTAGTAATGCAAAGAATATATGTAATGCAGAGGTAAGTCATGAAAAACAACAACCAGGAACTAACAACCAGGAACTCAGTGTTAAGTTTAAGAAATAGAATATCACCAGTGCTGGTAACCCACAGTTCTGCCCCACAGATTCCCTCAAGCTGAGGTAACAAGTATTCCATTTTTTAAAAATTATTTCCTACTTTTCTTTGTTTTGACCAAATATACGTGTTCTCAAGAATATTACTTCATTTTATGTCTCAACATTATGAAGATAGTTGAATACTCATAATTTTCATAACTTGCTGCATTCCTGTTTAATATCATGCTGCTGATTTGTCTGTGTATAGCTGTAGTTCATTCATTTTCATCATTGTACAGAGTTTTCTGTTGTATGAATATTCTCTAACTATGTGTTCTTTTGTTAATGGGAATTTGCCTGGTTTCTAATTTTACATTAAATTTTTCTTAAGTGAAAAATTTTAAATCAGCACTGGGGATGATAATACATGCTTGTAATTCCAGCTACTCAGGAGCATGAGGCAGAAGTATGGCAAGTTTGAGGTCAACCTTTGCAACAAAGCAAGACCTGTTTCGAATTAAAAAAAAAAAAATTAAAGTGTTGGGATCTGGCTCAGTCGTAGAGTGTCCCTGGGTTCAATTTCCAGTGCTGAAACAAACAAAACCAACAACCACAGGAAAAATATGTATCTATGTCTATATCTATATCTACATACATCTATCTGTGTGTGTGTGCTTTTCCTGTGCTTCTGGGTTCTTATTTCCAGTTAGGTTGATAATAATGCTACCTTAATTTGTATTTTGCTTTTTACTTTTCATGTTGTATCATATTTGGAATAGCCTGAAGGTTATATATTACTGTGAAATGAGTAGAAACAATTTTTTTTTTTTTAAAGAGAGAGAGAGAATTTTTTTATATTTATTTTTTAGTTTTCGGCAGACACAACATCTTTGTATGTGGTGCTGAGGATCGAACCTGGGCCGCATGCATGCCAGGCGAGCGTGCTACCACTTGAGCCACATCCCCAGCCCAAGTAGAAACAAATTTTAAATGATATTTGGCTTTGGGAAGTTCTGTTCATATATGTATGTGTGTGTGTGTGTATGTATGTACATACACTGATATACATGCATATATATATATAGATAGATAGATAGATGTACCATTGTGATGCTTCATTGATCCTTTGATGCTCATGAACATAATTGGTTCCATTTAAGTGAAACTAAATAGTGAGGAGAGAGTAAACAATAATTTTGTTGGACCAGTGACTTTATATTAACATTTTAGATACTGGTCTCTTAATCTGTGCTAATTTGTGTTTCTACTTTATTACTTCTTATTCATGGTTATAATCTATCTTTTGTATCATTTTCATATTATTTTAATTTTCTGAATTCTACACATTACTTATGACAATAGCTATTATTATTGTATACTTGCTATATGCCTGTTTGCCAACAATTTATACATTTATGTCTCCCAGTAATTTTTAATTATTTTTTAAAATATGGAGATAATTTCAAACTTTTTAAAAAGTAGCAAAAATAAAAGCAGTTATTTACAACACTTGTGTACCCTTTAACTAGAGAGAAATGTGTTGACAATGTTTTACCCTTTTTATGCTTTTTGGTGTGTATGTATATGTGAATTTCATTTTTTCCTGAACCATTTGAGGGTAAGATATATGCATTGTGATCTTCATGTTTAAATATCTCAGCCTAAATTTTTCAAGAATAAAGTATTTTCTTGCATAACCTAACAGTTAATTTAACATTAGAAAAAACTATCAATCTGTTGCTTGTATTGTAATTTTGTGAATTGACCTGATAATGTCTTGTATAACATTATCCCCTCCCCTACAGGAATCTGTCTAAGGCCAAATATTATTACATTTAGGAGTCATGGGTTTTAGCCTCTAATGTAGAATATTTCTCCATCCTTTCTTTGTCTTTCTTAGCATTCTTGAGAGAAGTATCCTCTATTCCCATGACCCGTGTTTATCAGAACTTTTCTTGTTTTGGGTTTATCTGGTGTTTCTTCATGATTTGATTCGTATCATGCTTTCTGGGCTGCAACGCTGCATGGGTGATATGTCTTCACATTTGGAGGCACATTTGTCTTATTGGTGAGGTTTGTTTGATCACCTGGTTAAAGGTTGTCCAATTTCTTCATTATGTACTTATTGGGGTTTCCCCTCCTTGCACCTAGGAAAAATCTGTGAGGAGACATTTTAAGACCATGCAAATATCCTCATAAAACTTCCTCTTAGATTTGGCAATTATTGATGATTCTTGCCAGATCCATTCTTTCCCATGCTGGTTAAAAAATGATAATTTTCCAACTCCAGGCCTTCTTCCATTTTTACCAATTGGCACTCTTCGTGTTATAATTAAGAATCCTCCTGTTTCATTTGCCTTTTATCCATCTACTTACATATGTATCAACCTACCCATCCATCTACTCAGAGGATTATTGATCTGATTCACAAATTCCTGTTTTTTCCCATGCTTTATAATTCGTTAGTATATTTAATTTAGTGCTCATGTTGTCCCAGATTCAGCTAGTAAAGCACTTTCAAACTGGTTTCTGTATCCTTGCAACATGTCTACATTTTTTTTTTTTTAGTACAATCTTACTTTCTTCATGGCAAGATATTTCAATTTCATTTTAGTATATACCTTCTCCCTGTACTGGAGTCACAATTTCTTGAAGATCCCTGGTTCCTTTTAGTGTTGTGGTATTCAAGACCATGATCTGAGCCTTAGGTTTCATAGAAGTTTTTAAAGTAGATGGTATTACAGTTTTACATAACAATAAACTAAGCCTCAGAGAACTTAAGTAATATGCTCTCTGAGTCATACAGCTAGTAAGTAGCGGAACAGGACTTAAATCCAGTTTCTCTTTCTTAAGCATCATGCTCTTTCTTTATACTATAGCCTTTCACCAGGAGTCATGTCATCTGGTTTACTTTCTCTGTGTGTGTGTGTGTGTGTGTGTGTGCATGAGCGTGTGTGTGTAGAGTCCTTAGTTAACTTACATAAAAGTTTTCTGTCATTTAATTTTTGCAGATAAGAAAAAGACACTTGAAATTAAAGATTTATGCTGTGGACACTGCTTCCAAGAACTTGAAAAGGCAAAGCAGGAAGGTCAAGATCTGAAAAGAAAACTGGAGAAATGCTGTAGGCATCTTCAGCATTTAGAAAGAAAGCACAAAGCTGTAGTGGAAAAAATTGGAGGTTAGCACCCAAAGTTGCACTGCCACCAGTATAAAAGCTCTTTGATCCTTGTTGAAATGTTTAGATGTGACGCTTTTATGAATGTATGTGCTGGTTCTCTTTGTGGATTAATATAAACCAATTTGGACCTCATTCTAACTAATCAAATTATTAATAAACTTGAAAGAGGAAAATTTCAGCTTTGATTAAAAGCTTCCTATTCCTTTCTTCCTTTCTTGACTGAACAGACATTGAGAGCTCAGTATGTGTCAAGCAGTATTCTAGGCACTGGAAGCCTTCACTAAGCCTTAGAAAATGGAGGTGTTTGCCACTGATAGGAACAGGGAAGGCATAGCAAAGGCCTGGGGTCTGCTAGCCTCCATGCATCCCATGCATCACAGTGCTATCAGGATATGAAGGGGATATCTTTGGCCATTTCCCACTGCGCTTCTGAAAAAAAGGAAGCTGTTGGGCCTAAACCCCTGCTCCCTCTTATTCACCTATAACCCATGCTCTGAACTCTGCATTCGAAATGTTTCAGATTTCTGAACTGATTGTATTTTCTCTTTCTGCTAGATCTTGCATATGATGTTGTCTCTGTCTTATACTTACCATACTATTTCCCTTTTGGCCTGCCTCATGCTTTAGAATTCAACTCAGTAGATGCCTCATTTGCAGAGCCCTCCTTGATTTTTCCATCGGGTTAAGTCAGCCACTCTTGAGCGGCCCTGTAGCACCTGGCTCTTCCTCCACTGTTTCCATTACCATTCTGTATTTTAATCATTTGGTTACTATCTATAATCATTCGGTTACCTAGTCAGACTCTTCCCTGAGGGTAAGGGCTATGTCTCTTGTCTTATTCATCCTTGTGGACATGATGTACGCCATCTACCATACAACAAATGTTTGAATGAATCAAAAACCTAATACCAGGGTCTCAGATAACTGCGTTGTCCAAAAAGACCAGGCAAATTAGCTCATTTATTTTCTCTCTTTTGTCTGGACAATGGAAACCACCTACAACTATCTTCTTCCAGTTTTTGCACCAATCCATTACCGTAGGGCAGCAATAACAACCTTTTACAAAAGGAATTGGGTCATGACACTCTTTTCTTAAGAGCTCTTCAGTGGCTTATCAGGCCCTTAGTATGAAATACAGGCACTTAATTTAGCCTGGTTTAAAAAGGTCTTCATGATTTAGCCCTGCCAGCCCTCAGCCTTGTCTCCCCGGTCCTCTTATTCTCAGGCATAGTATGGATTTCATTGTCTCATCTCTGGGCCTCTTGTCTTCTTCCTCTATTCAAACTTCCTGGTATCATTGCCTGGCTAACTCCCACCCATTTTTCTCCTGATACATTACTTCTTCAGGGCGGTTTTCCTGACTGCCACATACCTGGTTAGGTCCTCCTACTACATACTCTTTGAAGCTCCTGTGCTTTTTATAACATTCAGCATCTTTGTAATCATTTATTGTCTGTACTCCTTGGAGGTTTAGACTTTTGGGCAACAAGAATCAAGTCCTGTCCTAGCACTTGGCATAGTACTTCCAGCAGTGTAGCACATACTTGGGTAAATATTACTGACTAATGAAGCCACCTGCCACCACCTACTGCTAACCAAGTCTGTTAGAGATAGCTAGTAAGTACTATAAGGCCAGAAAAGGGTCTTACAAATTTTGAGATAAAAAGCTTTAACAACTACACTTTCCTTTTGATTAACTTCACTCCTTAATAGAAGCCAGTAGAGTAAATGAGATATATTTGTCCAACTCAACTGTAAAATATAGATAAAATATAGCTATTGCAAAATTTAATGAAAATCAAAATATTTTTACAAAATAGAATGACCACTGAATATGATTATTATTTACAAGTGATATTTAACACTGTAGATTATGGTCATAGTTATTTTGCATATTTTGATTTTTAAAGCTGCTATCCTATCTTCCACGATTCCTAGACTTAGAAATGATCCAAGAAAGTTGCTACTTTCTTTAAAACAGTGGACTGATAAAAAGGTCAGGGCCAAAATTTTAAGTTATAGTTTTATTTGAATTTTTTTCTCAGCATATATCTATTAGGTGATAATATCTTTGCTATTGTGCCTCCTTCTCTTTTGTTTCTTAATTCTTTTTTTCATTTTCTTGGTAGCATTTGTTAAAAAGTGGTTTAAAAATATATGTTGAATCAATCACCAAGGGTTATAGGATAATTGCATTCCCTAGCTCATGAGGTGTGTTGAGGGGCTGGCATAGCAGGAAATGTGAAGCACCATGTTCACATTTTACTGAACCTTGGTATTGCCAGGCCTTGTATAAGGCATTGGTTTTTTTTTTTATTTCTGTCATAATGTATAAGGCATGTAAAACTGTCTTCATTTTATATGTGAAAAAAACTTAGATTCAGACAGATTAAGTAATATAACTATATTCATCCAGTAGGTAATAAACTGAGCTAATGTCAAAAGTTTGTCTCTCTGACTCTAAAATTCATGCTTTTTTTTTTTTCTTTTAAACTCTATGGACTCCAGTTTCCTCATATTCTTTTTAAAAGTTCAAAGAATAAAAATCTTACATTATTTCTGAAAATGACAGCTACTTAAGATTAGTTTTCTCTATATTTTGTATTGAGGTGCTTTTTCAATTATCTTCTATAGGAGCATGGACCGTATACTAGATTTAAGGAAACATGTAATTAGTAAACCTAAATAGGTATCTACAGATCTTCAGTCTGGCTGGAAAACAAAACTTATGCATGTTTTTTTGCTTTGAGCTACATACATACCCCAGGACAGTATGTAGCTCAAAGCAAGATGAAGATGGGTTACAGACATTAAGTAAAGAGAAAATGTAACAAGAATGGTCCAGAGTAGGCTTATAAGGGAATGAAAAACCCAGGAGAGCAATTGGAAATGATGCAAAATAGAGACTTTTGTGTTGGAACATGTGGAAAGGAAGACTGGAAAAGACCTAACCTAATATAAACTTTTTTTTTATAGAAGAGAATAATAAAGTTGTTGAAGAATTGATAGAAGAAAACAATGACATGAAGAATAAATTGGAAGAACTGCAAACACTTTGTAGAACACCACCAAGGTAGACTTTTACTATTTTAAAAGACCATTTAATTTCTAAGTCTAATTTTTAGAAATATCACTGATATTGTTTTATTCCTATCAAGAAGTATAAAAAAAGGGGAAAATTTCCCAAACCCTAACCCCAGAAGGTACCCTCTGTTAACCCTGTTTTAAATCATTTCAGCTTCTTTTATACACACCCCATGCGCAATGTGCTTCTTAAAAATTGGAGTGATTGTAACCCTTTGTTAACTTAGTCTTATGAGAAAAGCATTCCCCCGGAGTTATTAGATATGTTCCTACAGTGTGTTTTTTAATAGCTTTCATATATTTTCATCATGTGGATTTACCATTATTTATTTAAGCAACCATAACATAAGTTGTCTCCATTTTACTCTTGCTTTAGTGGAATTTTTTTTTTTTTTTTTTGTATTGGGGATTGAACTCAGGGGCATTTAACCACATCCCCAACATCCCCAGCCCTATTTTTTTTTTTTTTTTTTTTTTTTTATTTAGAGACAGGGTCTCACTAAGTTGCTTAGGTCCTCACTAAGTTACTGAGTCTGGCGTTGAACTCACAATCCTCCTGCCTCAACCTCCAGAGCTGCTGAGATTCTACGCATTGTACCACCATGTTTCAAGTATATGAAATTCTCAGTTTATTTTATTAGACTATATTTTTATTTAGAACATATTAATACATATATGTATATTTTAAAAGTCAGTTTTTTCATTGTAATCTCTGCTTTTGCCATCTTGGATTGTCTTTAGGTCACTGTCAGAAGGGGCCATTGAAAATGCATGCCTGCCAAGCAATAGGCAGGCCTTGGAAGAACTTCGGGGGCAGTATATTAAAGCTGTAAAAAAGATTAAGCGTAAGTCCCTAAAGAGATTCCCAAGATTTTTAGGATGGTTTGAACATTTTTTATTGCTGTGAAATGTAAACTCAGAATTTATGCGCATTAGTACTTTGAGGGTATTTTTCAAACTAGCTTTTTCTTCAGTCTTAGAAAAGATCATTGATACCATTTCAAAATTATGTAGTAATGGATCATTTTGCCCAAATATCTTTTGGAAATGACATGAAAGTAGAGTTATTTTTATATTGTCGATTATCCTGGATTTTTAAAAAATTGTTGCTATCTAGACATTAGTACTAAACTAAAAATGTAATACCTTACAACATGAAATTTAGTAATTATTACGTATTAGCAATTATTGCTTCCTACTATAAACTTTTAGGGACTATGGAAATGAATCCAGTTAGCAGCTGTTCTGTTTTTTTCTCATTATCATATATAATACTTGTAAACTTGGATCTCAAGAATTTCTCAGAACCAAGTAGTGACAGCCACTCTGAAGAGCATTCCTCTGGTATGTTTTCACAGTATAAAATACTGCCTGCTTTTTAATTACAAAATTGCAGAGAATGGATGTATGTTTCAATATAATAGCCAGTGTTTTTATAGGAAAATGTATATTTGCCTCCTAAAATTGCATTTTTTTAACAAAATAGAAAAGGAAAAGGCTCAATTTCTAAATATAGTGGTTTCAGAGCAGAATCATGTATAGAGTTCTGATAAGCTCAATCAGTATCAGTAAAGGGTATTTGTTTCTCACTTTTTACTAGTGTTAACCAAAGATGTATTATAATGGAAGTGAAATTTCAAGCTTTTTTTGTTCATCCTAATAAGATAATTTGTATGTGTATTATGTCATGGTTACATTTTAGAAAGGATGATTGGAGTTTTATGTTGGCATGTACTTCATTTTAATTTTTCCCATTTCAAATAATGAAAAGTAGATGTGGCATTATTACATAGGATTAATTTCAGATGCTAACGGACATTAATAGGGCAATTCTTATATAAATTGGTATCCCTAATATAATAAAGATGGTGAAATTCTAGATGTAAGATGTAGTTCTGAATTTATTTTTATGAAAAGAAAATTTAAAAATATGGATTAATGATTTTATGCAAACTTCAGAAGATAACTGTAAGTCTCATCACTCTCTACAGTAGCATTTGTATAAATCTTTCATAGATTATAATGTGTTTAGTTAGATGCTCAATAAATGTTGCTGAAAGTAAATGAAACATAGATTTTCTTAGCCCAAGAGAATAATATAGTCTTCACAGCTCACACTGTGTCCTTTTCTTTTGTTTTTCAGTTTTTCTCTTCCTTTCTGTTCACCCTTTCCATTTCTTTTTCTTTTAAATGCTTAAGTTTCTCTTCCTCCTATTTTATTTTTTTGCCCAAGTATTTAGAATATGATAGAATACTCTGTATTTCCTTAGCATATATAGCTATCCTCATTCCAGAAGAACCAACCAGTTCTCTTGAGCCTACCAAAATGCTGATCTGAAACACCTCATTTTAATGATTACAGAAAGTATAAATTTATTTGGCTTATCAGCAACTACTTTATGACATACTAGAGGGTCAGGATTTTAGGTGGGGCTCAGTTGACCAATCCAGCTGACCCTGTGGCTTCCTTGGGGGGGGTCACTGAGTGGTCTTTGCTGGATTCAGGGCAGGTCTGGCATAATGTTCAAACCATAGCTCCAGTCCCCTTATCTCCCAGAAGAATAGTCTAACGTCTGCCTCCCGTGTTTCTGAAAAAGTTCTTATACCTCCTGTGGGTGTTCCCTCCCCTATAGGTGACATGCTTCGTTACATTCAGGAAAGTAAGGAAAGAGCAGCAGAAATGGTAAAGGCAGAGGTGTTGCGAGAACGTCAGGAAACTGCCCGGAAGATGCGCAAATATTACTTAATTTGCCTCCAACAAATTTTGCAGGATAATGGTAAAGAAGAAGGGTAAGTTCAGTACAAACAGTGTGTCCTAAGAGCACCAGGACAGCATGTTGTTATTTTCTAAACATTTTCCTTAACCACAAAATTAGCTTTTTTAATATGATCAGCTGTCAGGGATTAAGAGAGGCTTATGGCTGTACTACCCTAAATGTTGGCAGAGTTAATAGGAAAACAAATCCTGGGGCTCAGGAAATTCACAACTATTTTAATTTTGTATTTTGGAATTCCCCACAGGGCTGAGAAAAAGATTATGAATGCTGCTAGCAAACTTGCTACAATGGCAAAATTGCTAGAAACTCCTACTTCTAATAGATCCCAGTGCAAAAGTGCACAGGCAGGTATGTCTAAAGGAGTCACTTGAGTGGTTTTTCTCTCTCTCTTTTTTTTTTTTTTTTTTTTTTGGATTTTGAATATTCTCAGTATGGAAAAGAGCAAAGTGTAAGGAACAGAGTTTATAAAGTTGTAGGGGAATTACTTAAACTAGAAATTTACCAAGAAAGAGCATAGAATTTCTGGTTCGAGTAGATAGACTAAGTGTGCCTACCAGCTCGCTGTTTTTGTAGCTTCCCATCATTGCTTTCATCCTTAAAAATGACAGGAAAGGTTTTAAACAACAAATAAAGAATAAGAAAAATATGAAATTACATCTGGGTTCCAAAAGGTGTTAATGGGTAAATCAGAAGCTATAAGAAATCCCGAAAGAAGCCAGACGCAGTGGCACATGCCTATAATCACAGCGGCTCGGGAGGATCATGAGTTCAAAGCCAGCCTAGCAACTCAGCAAGGGCCCAAACAACTCAGTGAGACCCCATCTCTAAATAAAATATTTAAAAGTGCTGGGGATGTGGCTTAGTGGTTAAGCGCTCCTCAGTTCAATCCCCGGTATTAAAAAAAAAAAAAGAAAGAAAGAAAGCCTGAAAGAAAGAAGACTGTATACAATTGAAAATGAAAAACTGTAATTCAAAACTTCCAGAAGATGACAGCCTTGAGTCAGAGTAATATCAAAATTGTGCCACATATGAAAGTGATACGGGATGTCTGTGGGGTAATTTGTTGGGTATTCTAGAGCAGTGGCAACCAGGTGAAGTCACTCTATTTCTTCATTCCCTTCCCACTCTTGATTGGGCTGGGCAATAGCAACAGGAAGAAAAAGTCTGGGAGCAGGGAAGTGTTCCAGGTGGCTGGCCACATGTGAAGGAAGAATTAGGAGCCCAGAACTATTAGATCTTTCTGTCCTGCTGCTCATTCTCCCTTCCCCTCCCCAGTTCCTTTAAGCAGGCAGCATAAACAGATAACAGTATTCAGGATATCTAAAAGATTACCGATAACCAAGAATCACCATGCATTTACAGAAAGCTATCACTGTGCAAAAAGACACCAAACTAACATCAAAACAAAACCATTAGAACTTATAATTAAAGCAATGGAATTAATAGAATAAATAACAGAACCTAAGAATGTTAGAAATTATAGTTTTCTTGGAGCGATGTAAGAGAACATGGTAGAGGAAACTAAAATATGCTAAAACTTTCATTATGTTCAAGGAGAAGATGTGGATATTGATAGCTTTATAATTACAAGAAAAATATAGGTTTTGGAATATGTGCTAAAACTTAAGGGTAACCAATAAGAAATAGAATATATAACTTTCTAACTAGTAGAAAAAAGAAAACCTTAGAAGAAAAATTTCTAACAAAATCAAAAATAGAGAATGGTTAACAACAACAACAACAAAAATGTAGAAGGTAAAGTTGAAATATCAACAATCACACTAAATATGAATAGGTTAGACTCATTTATTAAAAGGTCATAACTTTCAAATGCAATTTTCTAAATTATGGACATTTGCTATTTTAACAAGAAGAACATCTAAAATTCAAATACCAGGGTAGAGAGTGATATACTTAGCAAATGTGGTGCTAATATTGATGAATTATAAAAGTAACTATAATATTAGGTAAATGAGAGCATTTAAAGGGACATAGATGATATATAGTTCATAATAATAATGGAATGGTCTCCCAAGAAACTATAAATTGTTTTTTTTGTGTGTATAAATAGTTTTAGAGTGTAAAAAAGCAAGAGCCGATAGAAATACCTGGAAAAAAAATGGTAAATTCCCAATCATACTGGGACATGTGTAGCATTATCTGTGGGGAAATGGAGTATTTGAACTTCTGGAAAACTTAGAGATTGTTGAGGAATACATGAGACATCCCTCATGTAGGAGCACAAAGATTATTTGTGTAAATTTTGGAATGGTGATGAGAACTTTAGGAATAGTCAGTGGCATACGATAAAGAAAGACATTTTCTAGAGCGGGGGCAATGTACAGGTAATATCCTTGGTAGAATGTCCCCTTTTTCATGGTCTCTAGACCAAGATATACCATTCTGAGACATGATGCTTCTAATTCTATACTGTGTGGCTGTTTTGCCTCTGATCTGATTTAGTATCCTAGCCAATTAAATCAGAAACTATATTTAGGTTAGGTTGTGTATAGGAGGTGGATATACGTGCTAGGTGGGTGGGGTTCTTCCAACAGATTTTCTTTATCAGAAACTCCATACTGACCCTCAGAATCAGCAAAATTGTGAATATTGCAGTTGGCTTTTGGAGAGCTATAACATCTCTTTCAGAAAATGATTGATCAGGTGGATAGCAATAGTAATATATTAGACTTCAGCAACAAAATTAGACATATGTAAAGGAATATTTTTATGTGTCTAGCATTGATTTTTTTTTGAGAGTGATTAAAATACATTGGCATTCTTTGAGAATACATAAATACATAACTTATTCTTATCTTTAAATGTTAATTTTCTCCTAATTTATGTTCCTCTAATTTTGTGTTCTTTTGCACATAGTAACACTACCCATGACTTCAGAGATGCTGATTGGAGTTGAAAAATCAAAAAGAAATGATATGAATCAGAATACACAACATTTTGAAACCAAATCAAACTGTGTAAAAAGCATCCCCAGAAGTATGTGTGAACAAGTTCCTAAGAGGAGGGCTGCTTGTGATTTACAGAGGCAGTTAGAGGATTCAGAGCATGGAGACATACAGCATATGGGTTTCAAGGGGTCACATTCAGACTTTCAGTTTGGGGATAGAAGTTGCAGACACCTAGACATTTTGCCAAAGAATGTTTCTACTGAATTTGTTCCATATGAAGTTGAAGAAGGCTTTGATTTGCACAAGAAGAAAGACCTGCCCAGTGACACTGGCTCTCAGTCACTTCTGCATTCAGGTGTATACCCTTTTCTGGAAACCCTTGGAAATAAACCCTCACCTAGTTGTTCCCCTGGGCTTTCTGAATCAGGATCCACACATACAATCTTTCGAGGTCCTAAGGAGAGGCCTGGTTTAAAAGCATATATATGCAATTCATTCACAGAAAGTGAAAATGCTACATCTGAGAGCAGTCACGGTTTGGGTGTTCAGGAAACTCCAGTAAAGGACGGAGGAGACCTCAGTGACTCATTAGGCTGGCTTTCCAACAGTGCAACTTTACCCTGTAACAGTCGTGAAGTGTCATTTTTACATGATAGGACACAAAGAACTGTGGATATGCTAGGTGACTCTGCTAAGTTCAGACAGTTTTCAGCAACCAATTGTTTTTCAGATACAGAGAAAGATAATATGATTTGCCAACCAATGAAATGTCAGAGTGATCATGTTCCAGGCCTGTCAAAAGAAACCCTGTATCCCCATCAGGGGAAGACCAGTGTGACTCCCGGACACCCAGTGCATCATAAGGCTGATATATTCAAGTCAGATTCCAAAAAGCTGAGCAGTACAGTTCCATCTTCAGTATGTCAGCAGCCTGCAAGAAAATCAGTTATTCCACTATCAGGCCAACAAGATAGTGGCTTTGATAGTCCATTTGTTAATCTAGACTAATTGTTGTGCTCTATTTAAGAAGAATCATTAATATATCAACAAGAGAAGACTTTGTACTGAAAAAAAATTGTGGGCTCTAGCTATATTGAGATGTTTTAATAACATCTATTATATGAGTAAAGTATTCTCATAAAATTACTTGAGATATTTATTGCCTTAATCTTCTAAAGGCCAATGGTGTGTTTATAATCTGCTTCTGTGTGGTGCTTATATTTGGTTGCTAAACTATCTATTTTTATACTTATAAATTGGCTCACTCTGCAATGTTAAATTATTTAAATAAAATTGCATATAATCTGTAGAATTATCATGAATTATTTTGTAGTTAATATTAACATTAACATCATGCTTCAGGTTCACTCAGGAAGAAATATAAACTTGGATTATTTGTATATATGACCAGCCAAATGTAATTTTTGAAATTGTCCATGTTGTGAGGATATAGACTTAATCTAGACGTACTTTTCCTGGAAATGTCTACTCAAAAATTTGATTCTTGCTTTCATTTAGAGAAAAGAGGTTTTGCTTTAAAATACAGATCTGTGTCCTGGTTTCATTATTTAAAATATTAGTCTGATTTTTTTCAGTTGATAATTTGCATTATTTTATATCACATCCAGAGACTTTGTCTCTTTTATCTGAAATATTACTTTTTGAAAATTTGAAATAATAAGCTTTGTTGTCTAGCAAAAAATGTGAAACCTATAGAAATTTTACATTAGTGCAGAATTGTCTGACTTATGAGTGCTGGGGTTGGAGGTTGTAATTCTGAATGGAGAACACATGCAGAAATGGATGTCAACCTAAATATCAGTTTTCTAGACATTTTACAGATTTGTACAGAGGGATATGAAAGTGTTAGATGTATTCTCTTATAGTCCTTTTAATTTCAGTAAAGTCAGTAATGATGTCCCTTCTTTTCACTCCTGATTTTGGTATTCTGTGTTATCTGTATTTTCAAGCCTCCCCGCCCCCCATAGAGGGACTTTGATTTTTTTTTTATTTTTTCTATTCCCTTTTTCATTGATTTTTCCCTCTGATTTTTATTTCTTTTCATCTGCTTGCTTTAAGTTTAAATCATTCTTATTCATTTATAAAGTAGAAGTTTAGGTTACTGATGTGAACCAGTTTTTTTTCTAATGTAAGTATTTAAATCCCTCAATTTCCATCAGCACTGTTAACTATACTTCATGGATTTTGGTATGTTATATTTGTTTTCATTTAGTTCAAAATATTTTCTAATTTGCCTTGTGATTTCTTTTTTGACCTATAAGTTGTTTGGAAATATGCCATTTTATTTCCAAGAATTGGGGGTTTCCAAATTTCTTTCTGGTGTTTATTTTATATCTCTTTGTTGTTGCAGAATATGCTTTGAATGATTCCTGCCCTTTTCAATTTTTGTTATTTTGTGGTCTAGCACATGGTCAATCCTGGAATATGTTTCACAGGCACCTGAAAAGAATGTGTATTCTGTTTTTGTTGAATAGAATGTCCAAAGATGACAGGTCAATTTGATTGACAGTGTTGTTCAAGTCTGCTATAGCTGTGATTTTCTGCCTGTTTATTCAATTGGTTATTAAGAGTGGGGTGTTACAGTCTCTGGCTAGAGTTGTTCAATTACCTGTTTTTCCTTTAATTTCTGTTGGACTTTGTTCCGTGTATTTTGGAGGTTTGTTTTTAGGTGTACATGCCTTGATATTTGTTATATCTTTCTGATGTTTTGGTTCTTTCTCATTATAAATTATCTTTTTTGTCTCTAATAAAATTTTTTATCTTAGTCCATTTTGTCTGTAATAACTGCAGCTATTCCATTTTTCTTATGATCACTCTTTGCATGTGCATCATTTTCTGTCTTTTTTATTCTATTTACATTTTTCAATTTAGAGTCTGGCAGATAGCATATTATGGGGTCTTACTTTTTTTTATCCAGACAAGCTTTGTTTTTTTCCATTGGAGTTTTTAATCCATTAAAATTTAGTATAATTACAGTTGTCTTTGTGTCTGCCATTTTGCAGTTGGCTTTTTGTGTATCTTGTTTCTTTTGTTATTAATTTTTCCTTTATTGCCTATTGTGTTAAATAAATATTTATGAGATTACCATTTTAATTACTCTTAAGTGTTTATTTTTTTTAAATATTTATTTTTTTGTAGTTGTACATAATAACTATTTTTAATTTATTTTTTATGTGGTGCTGAGGATCGAACCCAGGGCCTTGCACATGTGAGGCGAGCACTCTACCTCTGAGCCATAACCCCAGCCCCAGTGTTTACTATTTTTGAGTTGTTTTTTAGGTAGTAGCTATATAGGTATTCTGGTAGGCATCTTAACTTTTCACAGCCTACTTCAGATTAATGTTGACTAATGTGTGATAAAATACAGCAACTTTGTCCCAGTTTAGTTTTATTTTCTTCTCCCTCCTTTGTGCTGTTATCATTCATATATATATGAAACCTATAGAAATTTTACACATATATATACTACATTTATATATGTCATTTATATGTAAAACTGTATGATGTTATAATTATTCTTTAAAACAAGTCTTCCAAAAAATTTAAGAAGAAATAAGTTATAGTTCTTTTTTTTTTAGAGAGAGAGAGAAAGAGAATTTTTTAATATATATTTTAAGTTTTCGTTGGACACACATCTTTATTTTATTTTTATGTGGTACTGAGGATCGAACTCTGCGCATGCCAGGCGAGTGCACTACCGCTTGACCCACATCCCCAGCCCCTATAATTCTTTATATTACCCACACAATGACCACCTCTGCTGCTCTTCATTTTTCCTGTGGATTTAAGTTACCAAGGCTGATATTTTCTCTCATTACAGTACTACTTCAATATTCCATGTACAAGAAGTACACCAGTAAAGATTCTCCTAATCTTTATTTTGAATGTGTTTCTAATGCATTTATGAAGGACAGTGTTTAACAGATTTACAATTCTTGTTTGGCACTCTGAACAGGTAGTTTCACTGCTTTATGGCCACTGCTGTTTATAACAAAAGGTCGGCTATTGATCATTGTTTCCTATATGTAATAAATTGTTTTTCTCTTACTGCTTTTAGAATTTTTCTCTCTGGCTTTCAACAGTTTGAACAGTGAGTCTAGGTCTGCATTTATTTGTAGTTATCCTGCTTAGGCTTTATTGAGTTTCTGGGGTTTGTAGATTATTTCTTTTTATTTGTTCTTTTTAGTTATATATGATAGTAAAATGTATTTTGACATACATACATGGAGTATAACTTCCCATTCTTGTGGTTTTACATGATGTAGAATTACACTGGTCGTGTATTCACATGTACAGATAGGAAAGTAATGTCAGACTCATTCTATTGTCTGTCCCATTCCCATCTCCCCTCCCATCCCTTCATTCTTCATTCCCCTTTGTGTAATCCAAAGTACTTCTGGTCCCCACCCCCACCCACTGCCTCCGCTGCCCTTTGTTAGCATTCACATATCAGAGGAAACATTTGGCCTTTGGTTTTTTGGGGACTGGCCTATTTCACTTAGCATAATAATCTCTAGTTCTGTCCATTTATTGGCAAATGCCATAATTTCATATTTTATTATATTTGAGTAATATTCCATTTTGTATACATACCACATTTTCTTTATCCATTCATCTGTTTAAAGGTGCCTAAGTTGATTCCACAGATTAGCTGTTGTGAATTGAGCTGCTATAAGCATTGATGTGGCTATGTCACTATAGTATACTGATTTAAAGTCCTTTGGGTTTATGCCAAGGCGTGGGAAAACTGGGTCAAATGGTGGTTTCATTCCAAGTTTTCTTACAAATCTGTACATTGCTTTCCAAAATGATTGCACCAATTTGCAGTCCCACCTGGAATGTATAAGTGTACCTTTTCCCCCACACCCTCGAAAACATTTATTGTTTCTTATATTCTTTTTTTTTTTTTTAATTTTTTATTGTTGGTTGTTCAAAACATTACAAAGCTCTTGACATATCATATTTCACACTTTGATTCAAGTGTGTTATGAACTCCCATTTTAATTTTTTTTTTTTAGAGAGAGAATTTTAATATTTATTTTTTAGTTTTTGGCGGACACAACCTCTTTGTATGTGGTGCTGAGGATCGAACCCAGGCCACACGCATGCCAGGCAAGCGCGCTACCGCTTGAGCCCATGATGGAAATTTTTTGGCCTACTTTTTCTTCTAGTAAGTGCAGGCCTCTGGTCTAATGCCTAGGTTCTTGATCCACTTTGAGTTGAGTTTTGTGCAGCATGAGAGATGAAGGGTTTAATTTCAGTTTGCTGCATATGGATTTCCAGTTTTCCCAGCACCATGTGTTGAAGAAGCCATCTTTTCTCCAATGTATATTTATGGAGTCTTTCTCTAGTATTCGATAACTGTATTTATGTGGGTTTACCTCTGTATCTTCTGTTCTGTACCATTGGTCTTCATGTCTGCTTTGGTGCCAGTACCATGCTGTTTTTTGTTACTATGGCTCTGTAGTGTAATTTAAGATCTGGTATTGTGATGCTTCCTGCTTCACTTTTATAACTAAGGATTGCTTTAGCTATTCTTGGCCTCTTATTTTTCCAAATGAATTTCATGACTGCTTTTTCTATTTTTATGGAGAACATCCTTGGAATTTTAATTTTAGTTGTATTATATCTGTATAGCACTTTTGAGAGTATGTTCATTTTGACAATATTAATCCTGCCTATCAAAGAACATGAGAAATCTTTCCATTTTCTAAGTTCTTTTCAATTTCTTTAATGTTCTATAGTTTTCATTATAGAGTTCTTTAACCTCTTTTGTTAGATTGATTCTGAAATATTTTATTTTTTGAGGCTGTTGTGAATGGGATAGTTTTCATAATTTCTCTTTCAGTTGATTCATTATTGATGTATAGGAATGCAATACTTTTATATCCTGCTACTTTGCTGAATTCATGAGTTCTAGAAGTTTCCTGGTATAGTTTTTTTTTTTTTTTTTTTTTTTTGGTCTTCTAAATGAAGACTCATGTGTGGCAAATGGGGATAGTTTGAGTTCTTTTCCTATTCTTATCCCTTTAATTTCTTTTTTCTGTCTAATTGCTCTGGCTAGAGTTTTAAGGACTAGGTTGAATAGAAGTAGTGAAAGGGCATCCTTGTCTTGTTCTAGTTTTTAGAAGGAATGCTATAAATTTTTCTCCATTTAGAATGATGTTGGCCTTGGGTTTAACATATATAGGTTTTACAATGTTGAGGTATGTTCTAACTATCCCTAGTTTTTCTGGTGTTTTGAACATGAATGGATACTATATTTTGTCAAATGATCTTTCTGCATCTATTGCAATAAGCACGTTATTCTTGTTTTTAAGTCTGTTGATGTGATAAATTACATATGTTGAACCAACTTTACATCCCTGGAAACCCCACTTGATTATGGTGCATTATCTTTTTAATATGTTCTTGTATGTGATTTGCCAGTATTTTATTAAGAATTCTTACATCTGTGTACATAAGGGATATTGTTCTGAAGTTTTCTTCCCTTGGTGTGTCTTTGTCTGGTTTTGGTATTAGGG